TCATGAGCATCAGCCGGGTTTGGGGCACCACGAATCGAAGAGTGTAGGAGGTCCAAACGAGGGCCCGAACCACCGCAAACTGGGTGGGTGGGTAGGTGGGTGAGTGGGTGGGTGGGTGGGTGGGTGGGCGGTGGGGTGGGTGGGTGGCTGGGTGGGTGGGTGGGTGGGCGGCGAGCGGGAGGGTGGGTGAGTCTCAAAGCAGCAGCACACTAATTTCTGCCCGCAGTGACCCAGTTTATCGCGCATGCCGGCGGCATGGCCGATAAACCATAGCATGGGCCAGAACCACCAATAAGCCAAAAGTTCGGGATACAGCACCCAAGGTGACCACCAAAGTTCGGGTATCGGTGGTGTTGTTCCATGGAACAAATTATCGCGGATGCCGGCGGCATGGCCGATAACTTAACTCTTGCCCGCAGTGACCTAAGTTGCTGGCGTTATGTATCCTTTGGGGGCCTATTGGGGGCACACATAGCCGAAAGACTTGTTGAAGTGCTCTTTCTCATCGTCCGAAAAGGTGGACAGGTCCTCGACCATCAAGGTTTGTACCACACCGAAGGCCAGGATGGATGCCCTCGTAAAGCCCTTGGTCAAACCGACACTGCCACCAAAGAGAGGATCGTCGAGCTCGCATAGAGGATGTATTTCCAAAGGTTCCCTCATTCGTTCGAAGTTATGGAACAAGCTTGAAGACCATCGCTCCAGCTGAACCTTGGGAGGATAACCGTCCACAGGACGGCCAAACTCGAATGCGAAAAGTGGCACGTCGAAGGATCCCTCCTTCGTCGGGAACCGAAACTCAGCCAGCTGGAGGGCCTCAGAGTGGAGGAAAGGTCCAGAAAGTGCGGGTGGGCCGGGCGAAGGGCGGGCAGTTTGCTGGTTTTCTTTAGGCTGGCAGGGGCTAGGTGAGGGTTAGGGTTAGGTGGGGGTTAAGGGTCAGGGGTTTGGGGTTAGGGGTTAGGGGAGGGGGGAGGGGTTAGGGGGTTAGGGGTCAGGGGTTCGGGTTGGGGGTTGGGGGCTAGGGGTTCGGGGTTAGGGTTAGGGGTTAGGGTTAGACCTTATCTTGGAACAGGTATTAACCGGAACTTGGTGTTTTGAGCTTAGTATTAGGCTGTGGGTCAGGGATGGTTGCTGCACGGCGAGGCTGAGGGAAGTGCAAGATCAAAGTCTAGGGGAGTTCGGAGGTGACTGGAGGGCTACTGACTTCTTATTATAGTTGAAGAAGCAGCCAGCACAAATCCTTCAAACGGCAACTAAACCACCAACCATTAATCTAAACCCGTGAACCTTCGCAGGAATGGCTTCAGGGGCTAGGCTTAGGGTGAGTTTGAGGGTTTAGGGCTTCGTGCTTAGGTTTTGTAGATGGTTTCTGCAAAAATAGTTAAAGACTGAATTTAGTAAGTAACATCTGCCATCTCGATCTTCTGGTCTTCGAGCCAGCTAACCAAGCGGTCCCCGAAAGACTCCCAGTGAGCTTCGCTACAGTACTTGGTAACGAGCTCGCAGGGATGCCTGTCGCTCTCGACATCATACATCCTGAGTCACGAAAGTAAGAAGGAAACGATAATTGTCAGGAGTTGGGTCTTAAGCGCATTCTGCTCTTATTTGCAAACGAACTGAGACTCTGTCGACATTGCATTCACCATGCGGTCTGACCATGATGCTGCACCTTCATCTACAGGAGCCGCCCTCCTGGGGCCCTTGGCCGCCGGCTGCAGCGCTCCTCCTCCACGCTTGCCCATCACGGCGGCGTGTCTCCGGCCTATCAGCCTGAAACCTGACAGCAAAATGCCTTGCAGTCAGGACGATAGCAGTGACAAGCAGAGAGAGATTAGGGATTAGGGTTGAGGGTTTACGGGTTTAGGGATGGCTATTTAATCGAGACGGACCGCTTGCATGCTAGCAGCTACAAGCCGTTTTGCGGGATCCGAACCAATCCGGTAACAGTGGCTGGAGCTTGGAGTCGTGGGCCATGCTACAGCACTAGGATCTACCTGCGAATTACTTCTTCTGCACGAAGAGCGCCGCCAAGAGCACAACAACTCCGGCAGAAACTACATGTTGCCCGTTCCCCACCAAATGTGAGATGGAGGTTGGCGGCATGCCGCTCAAATCCACCCGCGGTGCCTTCGCCACGCGTGCCTGGGCTGCTACAAGTTCAAAGGGGTAGGGTGAGTTTAGGGTTTAGGGTTTAGGGTTCAGGGTGTACATCATATGTATGCAAAGTGCACTGCTGTCAAGCTTTGATAAGACATCAGAGAAGCCAGGGGACAAACTCAGGCGTGCAAGGCAAGGTGAGGATGCTACAAAGTTCATTGCACGATATCAATCGTTTTTTGCAGTGGCTGTAGAGCTTGGTGTTGGTCTTCAGAGCCATCATTGTTCCATCCCGGCGTTCAGTGCGAAAGTATGCAGGACTGTGCTGGGACAAATCAAACACCTGCAGTTCTTATCGGCAAAACTAAGAACCCTCTATTATTAGGGCACTAGGTCACCAGGCTTTATTGGCTCACGCAGCCTCCTTTGCACCCTGAAAGCAACGGTCATAGGCGCGGATAACCTTCATCTCGTTCTTGGACGGGGCCAGGTTCGATTCGCCCTTCTCCCAAAAGAAGTTTGCAGCCTTGCAAGGGATGTAGATTCCGACTAAGCGGACATTAGGCCTGGCAGAGAATTCTAGGGGCCTTCATTGTGCGCTTGTTGAGGAATGTTTCGTAGAGCTCTTGAAGACATCCATGGGAAGTGTCGAAGCAGGCACTTTCTCGATTCACCAAGATGCACCATATGCGGGCTCGCGCCCCTGCATAACCAATCTCACTTGGGCACATCTTCACCACATGCACCTCGTAGCAATCACCTCGGCTTTAAATTGTGTAACAGCAGTTGGACACTGCAGTAACTTTGTCTTCATTAAGCCAGGCTTCCGAGCTCTCGCTCTAAGATTTTGGGGTCGTAGCCAGGCACGTTCTCAAAGATGACCAGGTCCTGAGATCCAGGACTGTTCATCTAAATTCAGGAGGCTTGGTTTCAGATATTGGGGTTCATGTGGTCTTGGCTTCTGGTTTACTGTGTAGGTCTAAGTCGAGGCATTTTTGGTTTAAGGTTGAGGGTCTGGGGGTTTGGGTTTGGGGTTGGAGTCTAGGTCGTGGGTTGACGGTCTGGGTTGAAGGTTCAGGAGATTGCTAGCAGGCTTGTATTCTCGACATTATATTGAATAAGCTAAATTAAAGTCAATCCCGGGCTTCCAACTTTCAGGTTGAACATACTCATAGGACTCGCTAAGACAAACCCTAGACCCATGCGGCAAACCTGATGCTGCTATAAGGACACTGAGCCTTGCAAGTAGCAACCATCTCCTGCGATGAGAGACTTAGGGAAGACATAACTATTATTATTCGTGAGGATAGGCGGTGACCAGAATTTGCCATCCCGACCCCTGACCTCCAAGTTCTGTCGGCGATGCTGGATCCAGACGCGGTGGGTCTGGTACCGCGGGTCGCTCGTCTGGACAGGGCTTGATTTCACAACAGGATTCAGACATTTCTGCTTGGGTTGCTGGTCAAGGAATATCAGCTTGTCAGCAGAAGGCTTCGCTAGGACCGAGAATCTATCTATTGGACATAACAGCCTTCTTCATCAAACCGTTGATGGAGAACGGCGTGCACGTAGGCCCGGCTGCTTCCACAGAGAACTGGCGAGAGTTCTGTAAACGCTCCACGCCCACAGCACATTGCCGTCCATGCACCACACAGTGAGCCCGAGCTTGCTCACCAGGCCGATGATTCTCCAGGTTCCAGTGCAGGACATTGTCGAACCTGGGCAGCAAGAGACCCAAGCTGTGTTGACAGAGGCTGTAGGCTTTGGGGCTTACAGAGAGAAAGGCAGCATTGATGCTCAGATCCAGCATTGCTCCCTTTCGTTTTGTGTGCCATGGCCCCAAAAAAACTTCCTTCTGTGGCCGAGCTCGTGTGGCGTCATCCAGCTCCCAGACGATTTGGCAAAAGATGCGTTGCTATGCTGCTGGACAAGGGTAGATACAGCATCCGTGCAATCTATCGCAAGCGAGAAATCCTTCGGCGCTCAGAACCTTGGGTTTTGCTTTAGCAATTAAATGTTTAACATTTGTTTCACGAACCAGTTTTCAGCAGCTCTGGCTGGGTGAGTTTTCGACCTGGGTACCTCTGCGATGCTAGGCATGGAAATCTGCTCGAAAGCTAGGGGAGACGTTGGAGAAAGTGTGCGAGCACTATCAGCGCCATATGATGGCACAGAATGATCAGAGATGGGAGCAGCAGGAGGAGAATATGAATGTGAGCACGAAGCATGCAGCTGGATCTGAGTGATTATTGCAAATTACCTGGCTACCGGGTACCGGCTAGCGGCCACGATTTAAAGGAAACTACAGGTGGGGAGTTTAGCGAGATAGGGATTCTATAAGTTTTAAGGCTTCTATAAGGTATATAGACCTTCAATAAGGTTCCTATAACAGTAGCTAGCTACCCACCTGAGAATGTCCTGGAATGCTCAGGCTTTATGTAGAAGCCTCAAATTAGTTCTCAGTTCAGTGATGAAACCCGAAGAACGAAAAGAGTGTGGTCGGACCTGCTAAACTAAAACCCTCCTTCAGCAACGAACAAATACCAAGAAAGCTTGGTGTTATGGAACTATCAGGGTGCTATTGGTTAGGGAGACCTACTCTCATCTCGAGTCCTGGAGCTTGAGGGCCGAGTGTTGATTCATTAGTGATGCTTAATTTATTGGGTTCCAGGTTTAAAAGTTTTCAGACGTTGTTGGACAGTAAGTCGTGGGTTCATAAAGGTGGAGCAAGCCTAGGGCCCTCGAAGCCAAACTGGGGCATTAGATCGGCAGGCACAACATGGATCATGGTTGTAGGATAATAACAGGTCAAGTTCCTGGGCGTTGGCATTACTATTCAACAAGCTGTGCATCTTCTCTCGCCCCAAACAACCCCAACCCCAATACTGCAAGTAGATCCTGTTCCACGGTTGTTTAAATTAGCTTTCGGAAAGGCAATGCTTCACTTGGTCCAAGGAAATATCGCTGTTGAGCTTCGGGTTTACAACTAGGGACAGGCGTAAAGGCGTAAAACAGCAGCAACAACAACACCACACGCTAATTTACTAGTTTATAACAACAACAACAACAACACCAAAAGCAACACCACCACCGCCACCGCAACACCACAACACCACAACACCACAGCACTACAACACCACATCACCACATCACCACATCACCACCACACCAACACCACCACCACCACAACAACAACAACACCAGCAGCAGCAGCAGCAACAACAACAACAACAGCAACAACAACAACAACAACAGCAACAGCAGCAATAACAACAGCAACAGCAACAGCCACAGCCACGGCCACAGCAACAGCCGCAGCGACAGCAACAGCAACAGCAGCAACAACAGCAGCAGCAAACACAACAACGACACAACGACCAGCAGTCAACTCAATGTGGCCGTTCAGAGGTTCAGGGGGGTCGGTTCTGTGTGTTTTGGGGTGCTAGAAAAAGCCCACAAATCCAGCCCCCAGCAGAAACGAGCATATAAGCATCAGCTGGGTTAGGCCGAAGTCCCAGCCTAGGGTCTAGGGTTTAGGGAGAACCTTTATAGCTTCCAGCAGGATTCCAAGTAATACCGGGTTTAGGTTGAGGTGTTAGGTTTCTAAGTTCAACTTATTAAGGGTTTCGGTTTGTAAGCGCGGAGTGCAACAACCAAGCTTTGGCCAGTCGCTTCACATCAGATTGCAGTCGCCGTGCACCATGTCAATCGGCCGCACACAAAGACTTCAGGCTAATCCTTTAATAGGCTCATATTCGTCGTAGCAGTATAACAAAAACGTCGTCATCCTTCTTCATCGTGATTGTCGAACAGATCGCGGCAACAAGGGCATGAAGATATGGATAGCGACGTAGTACATTCCATTAAGAATCTTGTTGCCATCACCACATTATGTCATGTGGCTTAACAAACGTCCTCGTCCTCGTCCGGCAGCACGTCAAGATTGATAGCAAAGTAGTACTATAATTTCCCGAAGTCTGTTTTCCCGACGTCTCAAGCAATGCCTCCGAAATCTTATTGCTAGCCTGCTAGCATCACCTCATAATAGTCGGGAAGACCCAGCCACCAGCACCAGGATAGCTAAGTATTATTTGGACTCCTGCATCCTGTTGCCATCATCACATCCCATCCCAGGACAGCCACCGACCGGCAAGCAAAGGGGATGGCAACCACAGAAGGGAAAGGGCTTATAGTTTCTTAACACAGTAGTTTAAATTGGGTTTCCAGACGCGCGGCTCCCGAATCTTCAATAAATTGGCTAATTATTTCCAAAAGAACATATGACAACCCACGGCGGTTAAGTATTCCAACCCTAAACCATTGGACAGCCGAACAACTTGTGCGGCTTCACGTAGGGTTTAAGACTTCGGCTCGGGTCGGGTTGAGGGTTCTAGGGATTGCTAGGTTAGGGGGTGGAGATATTAAAAAGAAGTGCACAGGCTTGGGTTTCTTCTGCACGAGGATTGCAAGCTACTTCACGGATTTTGGGACTTTGGGGTGGAACTCCAATGGTTCAAACTCGAACCTTAAAGCCCTAAACCCCCAAACCTTACGTGCTCACTACTCCTTGAAATCCGAAAGACCTACCCTGCGACTGAGCTCGATTCCTGCATCCTCCTTCTGGAACCTCGAGGCCCGAATAAGTTTACCCCTTGGAACAACAAATCCGTAAAAACCTAATAGTGGAGTTGCATAACTAACATTTAAAGAGAAAGCTGTTCGTTCACCTAAAAGGCCACCCATGAAATTCAATACCCATTCAATTCCAGATCTTGGACAAGCTAGCCGAAAACACACACACACACACATGCTAAGATTTCGAACGCACAGGAGAACCCAAAGCAACAGCTTACCTGTCTACCTGAAAACACCACGGCTGCAAAGCAACCCCGGGCCCCTGCCATAAACCCCGAAAGACTAGCATCCTTATAGTCAACCCTACATTCCCATAGGTCGAAAACCTTTAAGACCCTAGGCAGAACCTATAGTGCAGTCTTTGCCAGGCAGACACCGAGACACTTTGGGGCTTAGGGTTTGCGAACCGTAAGGTTTCGTTTTGCTAGCTTGAGGGTCGGGCTGATTCTTGGAGGAAACACACTAAGCCTGAAGCCCTAAGCCTAACCCGAAACCCTAAAGCCCTTAACGTGCAGTGGACAATTTCTGGCGGGACGTGTCTATCGGAGTGAACGGACTGTTTAGTCCAAGGTTTGGAGATTGATATGCCTAGAAATGCTCATGAGCTCTTTCCAAAGATGGCTGAGCCTTCGCCAGTTCACGTTGGCTGGCACTGGTACATCTATGTCCACGGAATCTAGAAAATCTAGCTCATCTGCGACACTCTGA